CAGTTTACACTCATCTACAGGTCAGGACTCTGCAGTTTACACTCATCTACAGGTCAGTGGTCACTCTTTCAGGGATGAAGATGTTCTCATCCTTGATAGAGAGGAACGTTGGTTTGAGAGAGGAGTAAAGGAAGCCATCTTTGTGAAGAAAAACCGTCCACCATTAAACAGAGGTGGAGGCCTTCGTGTGCGGTTGTCCTCCTCCTACAATGCGGTTATTGCAAGTATGACTCCGCCCCCTGTGAGCAAAAGATGTGAATCAGGGCCCCAATGATAGTCAGGTGATGGGGCACATGACCCTCTATGAACAATAGAGCTAATCAAGGCACTAATGACCTATTGTTAGGYGATGGCCCTCTTTTGCATGTGACTAACCTGTTTGTCCAGGTGGAGGCAGTGCTTACAAGGCTGAGTTCACCTGAAACTCCTCAGACTGAAGAAGTCTCTTGGAGGAGAGACGAAACATTTCGTTTAAAAAGCACCCCTCCAGAGGACCTACTTATTTTTTCTCTTTGAATGAACAACAATAGTGCAATTTAAATAAGACCATTATAAAATAACATAAGGTAAAACAAGAAACCATATCAAAATATCAAGTAAACATTACACATAACCATATTGGCACCAAGTTAGCCATGTGAGTTTAGACGGTTTAACTGTTGTTGGACAGAAACCGTTCTTGAGTCTGTTTTGTGGAAGATATTAGTTTGGGGCAAAAGTCTATTTCTGATCATAATAGTGAGTTAACGGCTAGCATGTATGGGACCAAGACCAAAATGAACTGGTGCTGTCGTAAACCAACTTCAATCTCACAAATTTCTTGGTGATTCATGCAAATACTTTTAATAAACCTTTCTACTATTACATAATAACTATAGCAAATAAATAGCAGCAGCCTTCTAGTGCAGACAGTTATGTTTCCTGCAAAAATACAACGATATGTTAATAAAATGTAACACAAAATTATTAGTGGACATTTCTTAGATTGGAGTTGTTTTCAGAAGGCGCCAATCAGTTTTTATCTTGGTCCAGCCTGGACTAGTGGTTCAACGTCAATTAATATCTTACTTGTCGACAACAGGTAAGATATCAATTGCTCCTTACCTTTTCAAAAAAACGTAACTTCAGCAGAGCTGAACTACGTATTTGATGCAGTGGGAAACTCATGTTTTTTGTCTACACTGCTCTTTACTGACAAAAATTACACTTGTTGTGAGACAGATTCAGTATGGAATGTTACAAAATCTAAATGTCAAAATTTTAACGTGTGTACATTTTTTAATGGTATGTTATTTTATGTCAGAAAGCACTTGTACTGAAAATGGTTGAATGGTTTTAGTTCAAAATAAAAAAAATAAAACATTTCCGCTTTTTCATGTCATCTTATTTCTCATCTGTTTTTAATGTTTCTGTGCTTTTCTGCCTTGTTTTTGTGTGCTTTGGCTGTGGCTGAGTGGTTATGGGAGACCTTCTTCAATGCGAGAGTTGGCGGTTTCATTCCCCCAGTGCTCAGTCACATGTTGAGGTGTCCTTGGGAAAGACACTGAACCCCCACTGCCTCTGATGTGTGTCCCATCATTGTATGAATCATTGATATATATCACTGCATTGGGCGTCACGTGACCTGGGCGTGGCTTCTCAAGGGGGACTTTTATACATTGAGCTAATGCTAACGCTAACCATTGAAATCAATGAGCAGAACGTAGCGCGGTGCAAACAAACACTTTATAAATGTACAAATGGTACAAATACTTTGCWATAAACTGCAGAAATTGTTACATGTTTACAAGAGATAAAAGGGTTATGTTTCTCAGGCAAATATTACGCATATTTAACCAAAATTTATTATTTTAATTGTAAAACCTGTACGCTAACATTAAACAGTTGTTCAGATGTTCATGTTTAACCTTATTTAAAATAGATTTTATCTGTTGTCGAATATATTACTTACTGATATTAAACATGTAAATATGGACTTTATTGGATTGTTGACTAGTTAGACCGCATATAAATTCAGAAATTATGATGTAGACTCACTAATAACAGACACTAATGTAATGATTGAGCATCATAAACAAAATAGTCACATTGTCAGACAGGACGGTTTATTCAGATATTTTCTGCATCCAGTATTTGTGTTTTTCAACATTTCCAGAGAAAAAGGAGAAAAAAAAAACGTGCCAGTTGTGGGTTGGCTTCAGATACAGCCTGCATCATTGTGAAACTGAAGAATAACTCTTTGTGATAAAAATTAATTCATTAAACAATTCTTTGTGACATGAAATAATTTGTATTTTTTAGTTAGATTTTACAGATGTTAAAATTATTGTTTTATTTTATTGTTTTATTATTTGCAGCAAAAGCTTTTATAGTTTTATATTTTTTTGAAAAATAATTGTATTATTTTAAATGTCTAAGACTCATTTCTGATTAATAAATAAATATATGAATATCCAGCTTGTCAGAACTCATTBATTTGWATGAAAAAACATCTGTGAAATGCAAAATACTCAGTTAAAGCCACTGTTTTAGTCATTTAAATTAGTTACTATTTTAAATTTCCATAACTATAAAATTCACAACTTCCTCAGCTTTATTTTGAACCATAGTTTGTAAAAATCGAGCAAGAAATAAGGAAGTTTTAAGAGTTTTTCATCAGGAAGACACCTCCAGTCCATTGACCTCCATTCATTTTGTTGAAGCTCCTCAGTGCAGAACAGAGCTCCAGTGTGTGCACGTCAATGTAGCTAGCATTGCGCTAGCCACGCCCAGTAATATATCAATGGTATGAATATGATTTAAAGCACTGATTATTCTCCATAGAATGATCTGTCTGGGTCATAGTAGAGCGCTGTGAATGAGTCAATAAGGGCTCAGATTTGCTTGAGCATCCTGGTTGGATAGAAAGGTGCTGTATAAAAATATGTTTGTGATGCGATCACTAACCTGTGTTTGGTGGAACTGCAGGCCTGGGTGGAACCAGTGTTGTATTGTACATGGCTGTGTCTGAAATACACCAGAACAAAAACTGATCTCATCAAAAATAAATACAATTTGTAACAGTTTACTCAAGAGGAAAACCTAAACTTGTGTCGAGCTTCAATCACACATCTTACTGTAATTTTCAATCACCTGTTCAGTGTGTACCTGACTGGAAGGTGATTTCACTGAACAGCATCCAGGCATCTGCAAAGTAGAACTGGCACTTGATGGCACTGGCCATGTGATTGGCCAGAATGACGGTGACAAAATGAGCACTTGGATCCTTCTCATCCTGCACAGGGCTGAAGAAGAGGGGCGTGGCCTCCCAGTCTGAATCAGAGCGGAAGTAACAAACCACTTGTCTAAAGGTCTTGACGTGCCGGGAGTACATGTTGTTGCAGTGGACCTGTTCACACATAGACAGTGTCAGTGTTAATTGGAGATAGTGTGCAAACATCATCTTGCTTTTTGGGACTCTCACCTTCATGGAGGTAAAGTTTCGTGTCCGATCAAACTCAAACATAATTTCAACAAATCCACTGGGGAAGCTCTCATTGTTCCAGCCCACATAGTCATACCCTGGCCACCCATTGTGGACGTGGCTTAGAGTGAAATCATCTTCACCACAGATGCCATCAGTAAGTTGGCCTAAACCTTCTGTCATACTGAGAAATAAAAAAAGCAAAGAGTTGGAGCATTTCTGTTCAAATGCCACATTTCACAGTCACGTGGTGGCAGCATTTTTAACAAAATTCCTCTGGAATCTGGCTGTGGCATTGTCATGTTTTTTTTTTTTCCAACTGCAAAGTTTCCTTCACTGAAAAGAGATGTGTTTATGTATCATGGAAGCTTTATTCACTGTGACCTAATCCAAACATAACAAATGCACTGACTGGTTTATTCTGGTTTTGGATCTTTGTAAGAATGGTTGCTAAGTAAAATTATAAACAGTAAAACAGCACAACCAACTCACCACAACAGCTCTCAGTAACACTTCACAATTAGGTACACAAAATTCGATTAATTACTAGGGACCGTCTTTGGAGCTAATCATGTACTAAAGTAAGTAAAAGTAAGTAAGTAAAAGTTCATTTATTGTCAAGAGGGCCTGGAATCCAGGATGCTCACAATTCTGGAATCAAACCCAGGGAGTTTTCACCCCTACAAAAACAAGACCTGGACAGGAAAAGGAGACATCGGAAGAAGAACGAGGATCGAGAGGCAAAGAGGTTGAGGAGGCAGGAAGAGAATGTAATGAATTAAAGTAATCAATTTAATGCTTACAAAAAATGTGTGTAACCTAAGCAATGATTATTCTTGACTGTGATTTTTTAATTGATGTATTATGATTCTTATGATTTGTGATCTATGATTTTTATGTTTTAAATGAAAGATGGTGATTAGAGCAGAGAGGAATTTAAGATAGTTAAAGTGAACTATGTGAAGGCAGTTTGTGTGTGTGTCAGTTCTTGTGAAAAACTAGGCGTTTTCCCTAAAGCGAGCGAACAGTGTGAACCTTGTGTAAGGCTGAGCGCTGCTTCCTCTTTCTAACTGTCAGAGAGTGCACACTTCCCCTTTCTAAACGGTCAGAGTGTCTCACTTCCCCAATTTAACAAATAGAAGTGTGAACTTTGTGCAGCAGAATGCCTCTCTGAGATGTTGAAACAACAAGGTGTGGACTTTAATACCACAGAAAAAAGTACCTAACAACCCCGAAAAGAGGAAGGCCAGCAAAGTTGCTTCATTCTGGCAAGTACCGGGAAAGACACATGACACATGGTCACACCAGAAAGGTGGGAGGCAAGCACACAGAGGAAGGATAAAAGGCCGAGCTGATCCACAGCAAAGCGTCTTCGTGTCATCGGCTGGAGGAAGAACGGCTAAGAAGCAGCAGGACTCCAGAGCAGAGCAGCAATCGGATGCGAAGATCAGCTCTCATCTGGGCAGAAGCTGGCAGACTCTCCTCCGTCGAGTCTAAAGGACCGAAGACCAAAATTGGATCAAGCCCTACTCTGAGAGAGATCTTTTCAGACAACATTCGGACCTCATGGGGGTAAATAACTGACTGCTCTAAACCTGTCCTGCCTTCTCTGAAATTAACAGAATATGCCACACTTCTTAATCAGGAAGATAGTTCAGCTATTTAGAGTGCTTTATTTTAATCACCATCAATTATTAATCAATCAATTACCAATCGATATATTTAATCTGTATAATCAAATGTGGCAATTCTTGCAAATTCTATTAAACTGCTTACAAGCATCATAAAGACAAATTAACTGACTGGACATTGATACTTCTGGTTGTCCTTTAATGTTTTTCTCTGATTACAGGAGAGTCCTGTTATGGTAAGGTAACCAGGTAATTACATGTTATAAAAAGAGTGTGGTTACTTTAAAGCAAGTAATAATAAAAAGGAGGTCAGATCACAATAAAGTTCATTTTTATAGGTTATTAGCCAGAGTTGGAGATAGGATAACTCCTCTCTGTAAAAACAGTTCCCTTGAGACCTATTTTTACTGGTCACAAAATCACATCTCGACCACACAAGAAGTGCACATCCTACGAGGGGGCGGCTGCCAGAAGCAACGACAGTGACCAACACAAGTGAGGTGTCCTTGTGCTACTACGCCTGCACTGAAGTTGGGGTTCACGAAGGGAGCGACTGTCGGAAGGAGAGCAGCTGAAGGTCGAGCTTAAGGCTCCCACACGATGTCGCCTGGAGGAGACACATCAGACTCGACTGTGACAGTCACACCTGTGTGGCTGTGGGTCTGATTCACAGAGCTGCATCAGCCACCTTCATGTGACTGTGGGTTTGATCCACCACCTCCAGTTCAACAAAGAGACATCGACTCCTCTCCAAGACCCACCAGTGTCCGGGCGGGTAAACTGGGGGAGGAGCCACAAAGGACAAGATTATATAGCGCCTTTCACAGAAAAGGATTTCACAAGGTGCTGTACATTCATCATCAGAAAGAAAAAGCAAAAATTTCACATGAACTGTACAAAGTATACATTCAATACATTCAATATTTAAAACAAAAACCAAAGGAGTTCAATTTATCTCTCACCCTTACAGGTGGAGGGGATGGATACTAGACCAGAATAACGTATGATTGTTAGTCAGGGCTTATAAAGTCAAGTTATGAGGTGTTGAATATATTCAGTTGAATGCTTGAGTGAAGAGGTGTGTTTTTAGTTGTTTTTTAAAGGAGTCAGTGTTTTCAACAGATCTTAGGCTACGGTCACACTGCAGGTCTTAATGCTCAGTTCCGATTTTTTGAAAAAATCCTATCTTTTTGTGTGAACGTTCACGTTACATTTTAAATGTGACCTGCATCAGACCCCTGTGTGAACGCTACACAGCACTGATGTGACACGCATGCGCAGTAAAAGACGTGACGTCTCATCAGCCGGCTTGTTTGTTTACAGAGCTAGCATGGATGCTACATTTTGCACAACGAATCTGAAGTTGTTGTTTAATCAGAGCYGATTAAATAATTATCTGACCTGCTTCTTCAGTTCAGTGTTTATATATGAAGCTGCCTCTGACCGGGATGCTCCAGTGAAGCTTTTTTTTTTAAACGAAACTACGAGCTGGAAAAAAGTATAGATCGAGTATCGAACTTTAGGATCGATACTCTCCGCGACCCAGGCTGGACATCGTTATTATCATTATATCTACGTGGAAAATGAAAAGTAAAAAGATGAAGCAACTGGACTTGTGTTTWGGAGCTGTAAACACATGGAGCTACAGATTTAAACAGTGAGACTTGAGGTTAGTGTCTTATCGATCCTTCCCCCCTCCTCCTGATGAAAAAGTCAGATGAATGTGACA